CTGACTGCCGTTCTTGATTTCTCCTTTGAGGTTCTTCCTTCCCATACCACCCTGTCCTTCCGTAGGGAGTGAGGAAGGGCAAGATGATGTCTGTTTAATTCCACCTAACTAAAGGTGGCACAAGTGGTTTGCATTCAACATCTAACGGTCAGCTGTTCAAACCCACCTGGCGGTGTCTCAAGAAGACCCAATGGGACAGCACTGCTCTGCTATGCACGGACTCACCAAACATCAGAACCAACTCGAAGGCAATGGGTTTGTTTTTTGTTGTTGTTCCACCTAAAAGTGTCAATCTGCAGTTTGATGCCTAAAAAACCACTTAGTCTTTAGTCTTTAAACTGGGCAAATGTCTGCCCCCTCCCTCCAACTAGATTTAAACTCTTAGAAATCTTTCCATTATCATCTATGATTTATGCATAAACAGTAGATGAAGTCCCATAGTAGATAGAAAGAGTTCAGTCTTAGGAACCAAACGTAACTAGGTTTGAATTGTATCCATGCAAGTCCCTGAGCCTCAGTTTTCCCATCAGTAGACTGGGGGTGGGGGTGGGGGGGATAAACCTCCAGCTTACGTGATGGTTCTGCCATCATGCAAGCCTGTTAGAAGCCCTATGCTTGGACCCTCCATAACCTACATGGTGAACTTCGTCCCCTCCCTCCCCTCATGTCCCCCCGAGTTCAACAACCACACAGGAAGCCCCAAAACAAGGAATTTGTCAATGATCGAGCTAGCCAAGTCTGCTTGACCTTTCCGCCCTTCTTCGAGCTGTAAAAGAAGAAAATCTGAAACTCGGGGGAAATTTTCAATCCTTACATAAAAATCTGCTTAAACTGCATCTGTCCCCAGCATGAAGCTAAAAGGAAGGTGTCAGTGGTTGGCCTGCCACATCGATCACAACCCCAGTTGATATGGGTGTGGGAAAATCTGTTTCCTGGGTTATAAAGCTGAGCAGCCTGTTTGGAGGTCAGTCTGGTTGCATATAAAGCCAAAAGCCACACTCACTGCCCAGAGACTTAATTCCAACTCTCAGCAACCTTATATAATGAGTTTCCAGGCCTGTGAATCTTTCTCCTGAGGAGCGACTGATGGATTTAACCGCCAACCTTCAAGCATTAAAATGTAGGTGTCCTTTTAGATGATGAAGGATGACCAACACGCACAATGGATGTTCCCTGAGGTGACTTCCCTAATCACAGGGTACTGGATGCAACTTTAATCTCCATCTGTTGGGGACTGATTGAATGAGTGTGGTTCAGTAAGATCACAGGACACTTACACTCTAGCCATTAAAAAAAGTTGACTTTGGAATGATGTGTTGGTGGAACTAGATAGAGGTGGTGGTCACAGCATTGTGAATGCCCTAAAGCCACTGGAGTGCTCGTTTTGAAAAGGTTAGTTTTGAGGATTTATGAAATTATTAAAATTTCGCCACAGTTAAAAAAGTTTTATGTATTAACAGAGAAAGATATCTCATTGAGTGAAAAGAGAAAACATTCTATTTTCTGTGAGGTTAGGAAATGCATAGATAAGATTTAGCATAAATTGGACGTAGCAAAAGCGGCTACTTCTTGGAAGCGGACTTGGGGAAGTGGGGAAGACATGTCTATGACGTCAAGGAGCCCTGGTGGCATAATGGTTAAGCATTAGGCTGCTAACCTAAAGGTCCGCAGTTCGAATCTACCAGCCACTCCATGGGAGAAAGAGGAGGCTGTCTTCTGCTGTAAAGATTACATTCTTGGAAACCCTCCGGGCAGTTCTGCTCTCCAGGGTCGCTCTGAGTCAGAACCAGCTCACCGGCACTGGGTTTGGTTTTCATTAATGTCATGTATGAAAATGTAACATAAGCATAAATTACTTTCAGGCTGGTGGTGGGAGGTTAACGTTGGGGAACCAAAAATACAATGGGCTGGGCAATTGATATGCTTTAAGTGAAAGTGGAAACTGTCTTTCATTTTGAATCATCTTTTTTCTCATTTTCCTTTCTTCTCTGTAACACCGATGACCTCAGGCACCAGAACCACACACGGAGATGATCTAGTGACCTGGTGACTCACTGCTTGTTCTGACCCTTTAGTGCCCATGGTAGCTCACTGTTAGTGTCCGGATTCCGCCTGCATTAGCCTGGTCACTGTTTTCAAGGGATCACAGGATTTGGGAGATACCAGTAGTGAGCTCTGAATTTGGCTCACATACTTTCTCCATCTTCTGAGTGGCTTACTGAGTTCAATAATGAGCCCAGAGGCGGGCTGACCTGATGGTGCCGCTTGCAAAGAAACCTAGCTTCCTGCGCCCACAGAGTTCTGCTAAAACCCTCCAGTCCCTGGGACATATCCTTTTCCAGTTTGCCTATAGTATAAAAATGTGTAAACTGGCAAAAAAACACAAACAAACACTCATACTGCTATAAAAGCAAAGAGAATTTGGTAGTGGTCTCTTTCTACCTTTGCTCATATATGTATATATTTTTGGCATTGCTACTTATATACATAATATTTCATAAATATTTGAATATTTATATACCAATTTTAATCCTGACTTTAATTTTACTTTCATCAGAGGCATTTTCTGACTGTTCAGTTTTCTCAAAATGATAATAGTTGGATAATATTCCATCATGCTGGTGAATTTTGAAAAGCTTCAAAAACTTATGGAAAAATGGGATGAAAAAATAATGAAAATTTTCATCAAGTTTTTGAACCCTATTCATATAACTCATTCCATGACACCCTTCGCTTGGATAAGGAGCCCCAGTGCCACTTTGTGTTCGACGTCGGGCTGCTAATTGCAAGGTCAGCAGTCCTAGCCCACCAGCCAGGGGAGAACGATGCAGCCTGCCTGCTTTTGTAAAGATTCACAGTCTCAGAAACCCTGCTTAGGTCTCTCTGAGTCAGACTTTGCCCCCCAGCTTTTTAGTGGCTTTGGTTTGGATAGCTCTCTTTAAAAAATGGCTTTATGATCTGGAATTTTATTGTTAAATCTCTATATTTGCAAGCTACTTTGGTATATCTTGATGATGGTCCATATGTTATATGCAAGATTAGTTCCGACCTGCAGAAAGTTTGTAGTCAGAGCAGGTGGCCAATAATGAACCAGATGTGCTGGTGATGATTGCTGTAGCAGATCCCTATGGGAGATGGTGGGAGAGCATCGGTGAAGCCATCCTGGCGATGACGTTTGAGTGGCTTCCTGAGGACAGTCAGGAGACAGGCATTTGGAAAGTGAAAGAAAAGTATTCCGGCCAGAGAAGACTGTAGCAATCACAAGAGAGAGGGCGACGGGTAAGAGGAGGTGAAGATATGTACATTGTGGTCAGCTTATAAGAGGCTTTTGGTGCCAAACTGAGAGCTTTACACTGATGCCTCCAGAAGCCACGACAAAGGCACTTGCTAAATAAAATTGTGGTTTTGAGGATGACAGTGTCTCATTGCTTTGGCAATGTTTTCAGTAAATGTGATGAAATCTTTTGGGATGGAGGCTAATGGTGATGCATTCTACTTTCTTTATGATCATGTATATTTGTCATGGATGCTGTGGTGTATGGTGGTAGCATGTTTCAGCCACAAAGGGGGGTATTATTTTATTAGATAACCTGGAAATCTACTGGACCTGGTCTCTTTTGAAAATGAAAAATTACCTCAAATGTGCAGGGTTCTTTGCTCCCAAGGTAGTATTTAGTGTCTGTATTAGCTGGGACTTTTTGAGTTGACAGAATATCTCAGCTGATATTAAAGTAAACATAAAAGGATATAGAATTGGCCATGCAACGAAAGCATCCAAGAATGGAAACTGATTGTGGTAGTAATTGTACAATACTGCTTGATATGATTGAACTATGGATTTTTATACCTGTGAGAGCGCCCAATAAAAATGATTTAAAAAAAGAAAAGAGTAGCTCTTTCTGGCTTCAGGCATTGTGGGATGCACATTGTGTTCAGACAAAGTGTGCTCACTCCTTTCCTGTCTTCCCCATCCCTTGTCTCAACCTCTCTATCTTTCATTCTGTGTGTCCCTGTACTTTGCCACAGCACACAGACTTTTTCCGTATGATCAGAAGGAATTTCTGCTAGAAACTTCTTATTGTGACTTGGGTGAAGATTTTCAGAGCAGACCATCAGTTTTACATTCAACAATTCACACACATTTTGTTTCAGCTCACCTATTGTAATCCCCTCAAGGTATTGTCACCTATCCCCTTTCTCCCCGTGCTTCCTATTTCTATCCCTCCACCTTCCCTGACACTCGATACTTTGTCCTTGGGGAAATAGTATTCTTCTGATCTTAAGGGCTGGTCATTCTAACTCAGGAGTGAGTTCAGTTTCAGACCTAAAGGATGACTAAGGGCCATGGTGTTGCAGGGTTCATCAGTCTTTATGGACCAGAAAACCTGATTTCTTTTTGGGGAAGAAACAATCATTTTGTTATCTGTTGAGCTTGTGACTACAAAAGAAGAGTCATATAGCATATATTAAGTGTCAGGGGAAACTCTGATTGGCTACACACTTGGATATGTCCCTAACCTGACCCAGAATGGTGGCATACTCTTAATTGGTCAGGGCTGAGCGAGCTCACCCAAACCACATGAAAGCTAGTACCAAGGATAGTAGGATTCTGTTCCTAGTTGGAGGAAGTGGGAAGGAGGACTGAATATACTTAAAAAAAATCACTACCATTTTGAGGAACGGGGTTTACACTGGGAAAAAAATAGAATCAATACCTTATCCGAGTGCTGCCTTCACGCTTGAGTTTAGCCTGGCACGTTTCTGCTATCAAGGTCACACAGAACGGGTAGTCCCCAGCACGTGTGCGGAAGTGGCCTCTTGTCCGGTTTTCCTTGGCACGTGGGCACAAGACAGGGCCTGACTTCCCAAAGGCCTCACGGCAGTGTCCACTCTTTCTTGTGGATGTTATGATTTGTGTTCTGTCACCTGCAGGAAGCCGATCAAATGACCCACCCAGTCCTGCCGCAGTGCCCGTGACCATTGTGTTTCTCTTTGTCTAGCGTTCCATCAGCTTCCGCAGTGAGAGCCGGCCTGACGTCCTTGCCCCCCGACCCTGGTCCAGGAATGCCGCCTCGTCAAGCACAAAGCGAAGAGACAGCAAGCTGTGGAGTGAGACCTTCGACGTGTGTGTCAATCAGGTGCTCACGTCCAAGGAAATTAAGCGTCAGGAGGTAGGCGTGTGGGGCCTGTGGAACTGGTCGTATGTTTTGAACAAAGGCAAACAAAAAGAGCCCTGCTGGGGTCCGCACCACCGTCCCCAAGTCCGTTTTCCGTGGCACTTACAGGATGCGGCCACACTGGCGGTGTGGAGCTTCTGAAAGGGACTGAGAAACCAGCATCCGGCTGAGTGGGCGTGTCCCCCACTTTAAAAAAAGAGACTGATATGAAAAAAAGATGAAAGTACAAGGAAGATGAATTAGGAAGCGCCTCTTTACGATCCTGTAGTTCACAAGGTTCATCACTTTACTTGTATTTTGGTGGCAACAGCTAACAAGTTGACCAGCTGCCACCAAGTCGATTCTGATTGTTCAAAATTTCCAGCCCTTTCTTCCAAGGTGCCTTCCATTTTTCTTTTTAAAATCATTTTATTGGGGGCTCGTACAATTTATCACAATCCATCCATCCATTGGTGGACCCAAACCTTTAACCTTTTGATTAAAAGCCAAATGCACAAGCTGTTTTTACCACCCAGGGACTCCAGCAGTATTTTTAAATGTTCAGTTTATGGGACGTTGACTGATTCCGCTTTGGGAGAACTGATTTTCTGTGAAGTGAGGTTATTTTCATTCCCGGTAAGTTTCCTGTGTCAGTCACTGCTGGCTATCGTATTATCCGCGAAAGAGGCCTTGTAGCCAGGTTCTGCTGAACTTTTCGTTTGTATATAATCTAGGAATTGATGTTTTTGGGTTTTTTGGCAGAGAACCTGACAGCAAAAAGAGGACATTTGAAATTTTTCTAGCTTTTTTTTTTTTTTTAAGTAAACCATTTTTTCCCTAGGAATTTCTCTACCAGGCCCACCTAGACACAAGGGAAAAAGCTGTATGTGCAAAGTTATTTATTGTAATAATGTTTATAATAGTTATGTGGAAAGAGCCTGGTATCTCTTATGGGGTGTTTAAACAGTGAGTGTCCATATGTGGACAATTACACAGACCTAAAAGTACATGGGAAACCACTGATAGGAATATACGGCTACAGAGTTCATAGAGATTAATAGAGGCAAAACTATCAAGTAATTGGATACAGCTGTGGTGTCTTTGATTAGCATTTACGGAGTTGCAGGTGGCAGGATTTCGGTCCCTCTTGGAGGAGTTGACCTTCTTTGTAAAGAGGAAGCTTCAGGTGACAGCGTGGCTGACCATAAATTCCCTGGAACATTTAAAAATACACTAAGTCCAGAGCTTTAAAAAGTGGGTGGTCAGAAAGACATCTGTTTATGGGAGGCTAAAGGTATAGCTTAGCCACTAAAGCCACATGTTCTACCCTTGTCTGACATTGGTACAAATAGAATAATCTCTTTTTAATATGAGCCATTTCTAACACAAATTCATCTATAATGAGATCAAGATGGACAACCCCCCACCTATTTTTTTCCTGTAGAAACTTTGTATTTGGCTAAAGGTATCATGGAAAATTTTTACAGAAGTAAGAGCATGTTAATTTACAAGAGAAAATTATAAAATGAAGCCACTTAAGACAAGGGTGGGGTGGGGTGAGGGTTGAACTAGTCCTTAACCAGGAGTTTTAGTTTTACCAAGAGGCTTCGTTTTGGGTTTTTTGTTTTTTCACAAAGAGCTTTAGTTTTGAAATGCTTTCTCCATCCACTTTTGAGCAAGATTCCCCTGGCGATTCGGTCGTCATTTATATAGAGGTGCGTCCTTTTGTGTGGACTTTGTTTCTTTAGCGTCCAGGTGGGCTACCTTGCTATCTGCAAGGCCTCATTTTCAAGGCGAGCTGATCACATATTGCCCACACACGTCTAACCTGGCTTCTGCGGGGATTTCATTGTGTGGGATTATAGATGGCAGCTTGTCATTTAAACGCTTTTAAGACCCTAGATCAGTGGTTTTAAACCTTCCTAAGGCCGCGACCCTTTCATATAGTTCCTTATATTGTGGTGACCCCCAAACCATAAAATTATTTTCATTGCTACTTCATAACTGTAATTTTGCTACTGTTATGAACTGGGCAACCCCCGTGAAAGGGTCGTTCAACCCCCAAAGGGGTCACAACCCAAAGGTTGAGAACCGCTGCCCTACATGAAGGTAACTGGGTACCATCTAATTCTATTTCTCCACCATTGCACTGGTCAAAGACACTGTATCAGTGATATCCTCATTATGCGAATGGGAACAGTGCAAGGCTGAATGGAAGAGACAACTAAGGTATGAGACAAATTCTGTGGAGTAAACATTTTGTAACAATAGCAAATAATAAAGCCAACTGGTTTTTAGTTTGGGTTATATGGAACATATCCAAGAGCTAAAACTTGTTCTGGGATGCAGAACTAGGCGCTATAATAGTAGAAGAAACATTTCATTAGGCAGGAGAAAATAACCTAACTGAAAATACAGGGAATCCAGGACGGATGAGCCCTATAGGACCAGTGGTGAGAGTGGCGATACTGGGAGGGTAAAGGGAGAATGGGTAGGAAAGAGGGAACCGATTACATGGAACTGTGTGTGACCTCCTCCCTGGGGGACAGACAACCGAAAAGTGGATGAAGGGAGACGTCGGACAGGGCAAGATATGACAAAATACCCATTTAAAACTATCAAGGGCTCATGCAGGAGTGGGGAGCGGGGAGGGAGGGGAAAAATGAGGACCTAATGTGGGGGTTTAAATGGAGAGAAAATGTTTTGAGAAACGATGTACAAATGCGCTTTACACAATTGATGTGTGTATGGATTGGGATAACAGTTGTATGAGCCCCTAATAAAATGTTAAAAAAAAAAATCTACAACCTCAGAAACTCAAAAAAAAAAAAAAAAGGAGTATCATTTGTCAAGGTTTTACATGAGAATTGACTTAAGACTTGATGCTACTAGGTAACAAACTGAAAATATTAAGCTAGCGATTAGGGCTGCTGTTTTGTTTTTGTTTTTAATGTGGAGCCAGGTAACTTTCCAGCAGGTTTTCTACATGCCCTATTTCATCTGTTTATCCCGGGGGTCGGGTGGGCGTGGGGTTGGTATTTATTTGTGGAAAAGCGATCCTAGGTGTCACCTGCTTCTGATGCCCGGGGTTTTGGAGTTCGAGTTTTCTTGTGTATTGGATGAGAAATCTTTCGAACTGAAATTTTGGCTCCTTTTTCATTTTGACAAATGGGTCTGAGAATTAATTCCTCTTAATTTGACTTCATGAGGATTAGTAAGGAGGGCTTAGATGAGGCCCCTTCCCGTGAGATTCTAATGAATTTTTCTATTGCTGTCCTTTTCAATCTGTGTATTTTCCTGGGGAGATGTTCGGCTGACTCTGGAAGTCTAATATCCATTTGCCAATGGCTTTTTCAGTCTGTTAGAGATCATCTCAGCTAGTGTAGCATTATTAGTTACTAAAACAGCTGATTCTATATTAAAAAGGGAGAAAGGAGAGAAACAAAATGATGTCTATGTTTAGAAAATAGAACATAGAACATCAGCAGTATGTTCATGTAAGCCTTTCAGAATCCTGTTTGCCTTACATCGTTTACTTGAGTTCCGTGTCATCCTGGAGCAGCAGCAACTTGAAAACATCATAATTTTTTTATAAACGTCTTGGAAACCTTGGCTCAGTCCAGTAGTATCCACAATATATTCTTTTTTTAAAATGGATCTGCCATTGTCCATTCAAAAAATCTTTTAATCGTGTTTTCAGTAAATAGTAAAGTAGAATTTTTCTTAACTGATAAAACTTAGAAAGGTGACAATGTTAGCTTATAACAATAATTTCTTAATGAGAAAAACAACACGTTTTAAAATATTTCTGACTTGTGTCTTAAGTTTTTGATGTAGCATATTAGGAGGGCTTTGGTGCAGACGGTAGCAAGAAGTTTCAGTCTTAGCAAGAGCTATAGGTTGGTACTGCTTTTTCTCAGTACCCATTAGCTTGTGAAACCATCAGATATTTCCAGAAAGACACACAGAACTGATAGCAGTGAGCCCTTCTGAGAGGGGAACTGGGTAACTAAAGGAAGGAGGTGAAGGGGGGAAGGTTTCCACCATGTACCTCTTGGTGCACATCAAAACTTGAACCATGTTAAATGTATTATCTACCCCCAACTGTATAAAGCATATAGCTAGAAAACATGCACTGAAAAAACTCTTGGAAAGAGAAGTGACAAAATCTTAACAATGGTTGATAAGATGGTATTATAGGTAGTTTGGAAATGTATTAGTAATGCTGTTCTGTATTTTCCCAATTGTTAACAGTGTACAGGTGTATCTTGGGTAATCTGAGAGCAGAAAGATGAAGCCGAGAGCAGAAAAGGAGAGAGGAAATGAAAAGTCAGTAAATTAATAGGAGTGAATTAATTCTGCAGATAAGAAAACTGTCAGGCACTCTGAGTGAAAAGGCCACCTGCTAGGAAATCGCAAAGTCAGGGTCTGAACACATCAGTTGTCCTTTTCCAAAGCTCAGGGTCTTCTTGGCGACACAGTGCTCCAGTGTCCAGTTCTGTGGTGCTCCTCTGCAGAGGCCTCATGTGTGAGCCATCTCTAGTAAAGGCATGCACGAGGAGCTCTGTGGAGGGTCCACGTCTGTCCAGTCCACTGCATTCTGCCATTCTGTTCCCTGGCTTTGATAGCAGTCAAGAGGCCACCTTTGGGAGGGGCTGGATGAGAGCTACATGTCTTTAAAAACAAAGACAGAAATCAATGTATCGGGCTATAATGATTTCACAATAAAAGGAGTTTTGTATTTTTTTTTAATAGCGTACTGGGAAGGCCTGGCTGGCATCGGAGTCACTGTGTAGTCCCCGCCAGCCTCCACTCACCCAAGAGCACTTACTGCCCTCCGTTCCACAAACCCAGAAAGAGAGCCCATGCCACAGCCTGTTGGCTTCTACCCTCCAGCCTAAGAAAAATGCAGTGGCCCCTGAACCAGCTTTGCAAACGTGCAGTCCTTTAATGATGCGCTGTTTGTCATGGCCTCTGGATGAGGATGACAGGTGCTGTGCGCACCATAGCTCTTTAACTTATGATGGCTTAATGGAGCCAAATTAGAAACGGCCCACTGACACTCACTGGCGCACAGCCGGCTCCTATAATTTTATGTGTTGTACCTTATGGGGCCGAGAAGTAATTTAGAATGAATTAACTTTGCCAGACATTTAGGATGATAAAATGTTGGCTTCCTCATACAATCCCAGCCTCAAGACAAGTAGCTAATGGAATACCATTTTCTGCTGAGGGGCACCTTCTTTTGAAGGAAGACAGACTGTGATATGCAGTTAATAATCCTGCCATGGACATCTCTGAGACTCCCCCCACTCCACACACACCTCACAGAAAACATCGCCATCATGTTGATGTTAACAATAGCAACTTCACAAGACAGATAGACACCCCTGTGGAGTTTCCATGGTGGTAAATCTCTGCAGAAGAAGATGGCTACACCTTTCTCTCTAGCAGTTAAGCGCTGTACAACTTTCACCATCCACCCATCCGTCCCTTGTGTCAAGCACATTTGTATGTTTGTTGCCAACGCAGACCATTTCTTTTGCTGGCCACTCACAGCAAAGAAATGGAATTCAGGGCTCAAACTGTAATTATTTTACCTAAAATAGTTCCCTCTAAATTCTGTAACAAGAAAGATGACTCCTTGGGTGAGAAACATCGAGAACCTCTTTCACCCACCAACAGAGTAGCACAGCACAGGAGATTTGCAAAGTCTTTTCTCTGCAGGTTTTAATCACCAGATGGGTTTTCTTGCTACAAGTTAGCTTAACTTTTTGAAGCATTCTGGTGATGCAAATGATTAGTCTCTCAGCTATGAGCCCAAGGGTGAGTGGTTGGAACCCACCTAGCAGCTCTGTGTGAAAAAGCCCGGGTCATCTGTCCCCATAAAGAGAAGAGCCAAACCCTGTGGGGCGTTCCTACTCTGTCACCCAGGTCTTTGGAGTCAGCCCCTAATAACAACGTATGAGTGGATTGGGGGCTGTAAGGACTAGAGTGGGTAGTGCTTGGAGTTGGTCTCCTACACCAAGAGGACGTTCATTGGATGCATTTTCTCTTGCAGGCCATCTTTGAGCTTTCCCAAGGAGAAGAAGACTTGATAGAGGACTTGAAATTAGCAAAAAAGGTAAATGTAAATCTGGTGGTCATCGAGTCCCCTCCCCTTCTTTCCTCTGAGTCATCTCATGAGAGGGCATGAGTCATCTCATATATAAGCACCCACCTGATGACTAAGAGGCATCATCAACCAAGAGAAACCCACCAACCCAAGCCAAACTATGGGACAAATGGAACAAAGCAAGAAGGTAGACTAGCTGTCCGGACTACGCACCCACAGGTTCTCTGCTTGTCTCCAGTGCACCTCAAAATACCTGCCCCCCACAAAAAAGACCAAAACAAAACTCCAAACTCACTGCCATTGAGTTAATTCTGACTCATAGCGGCCCTATAAGACAAGGTAGATCTGCCGCTGTGGGTTTCTGAGACTGTAACTCTTTGTGGGAGTAGAAAGCTTCATCTTTCTCCCTAGAAGAAGCTGGTGGTTTTGAACTGCTGACCTTAGGGTTAATGGCTGAACTCGTCACCATTATGCCACTGACAGCTCCTACCTCAAAGAATACTTCTCTTTCAATCAGAGAAGTGTCAGTGGAGGCGTGGCCTTCTAATACCTTGTCCGGGAAGCTTCAGGTGCAGGACTTGCTTAGCCAGGGAAATGGACACGTGATTGTCTCAGTCTGGAGCTGGGTCTGAGCAATAATCATTTGAGTCTTAAAAGTAGATGAAGTGGTTAAGTGAGGCAATTGCATATTGTCATGTAAACTAGGGTCTTTTATATGGAAATTTGTTTTTTAGTCACATGGATTGGAGTGGGGGTAGGAACCTATGCCTCCTGACAATAAACTTTCCTCCAAAACCTATCCATTCTCCTCTGTGGCCTGCAGATTAGAACCTTTGCTCAGATACGCACATCCTCCTGAAAGAACCACAGGGTTGGAAGCCTGCCTCTTCTGGAGGGTCGTTAGTCTAACCTGCTGTCTCCTTTTTGGCATTCCTGCAAGACAGTCATCCAAATTCTGCTTGTACTCAGTCAAGAAACTGGGCTTTAAGCAGAATTGGAGGAAGAGGAGGAAAGAGAGGGCAAAGCTTCTAACTCTGGAAGACATCTTGCTGGTTGTATTCCTAACACCCTCTCCTAGCAACAAGGTTTCCCAGCCCCAAATGTCTTAAGATGTTCTGTTGCCATCCTTTTTCACATCTTTTAACCTTTAACCTCAACCATCCAAATCCACCCATCCCCAGAAATCTTTAGCTCAAATCGCAATTCAGTCTTCAACAACACATATGGCTACTGCTTCTGTGCTAGGCAGCACATCCCCCAAACCTTAGACTGTGGAAGCCTCAGACCAGCCCTGGGCCTCTAGGGCAGTGATTCTCAACCTGTGGGTCACGACCCCCTTAAGGGATGAACGACCCTTTCAAAGGGGTCACCCAATTCATAACAGTAGCAAAATTACAGTGACGAAGTAGCAACAAAAATAATTTTATGCTTGAGGGTCACCACCACATGAGAAACTGTATGAAAGGGTCGCAGCATGAGGAAGGTTGAGAACCGCTGCTCTAGGGCAGTTAGGGTGTGATCCCTTTATGCTGCCCTGTGACATCACTCCCTGAACTACTTTTTAAATATGAGCTACTTTTTCCAGGTATTTTTCTCATCACCCAAGGCAGCTGGACATTTCTTGAAGGCAGAGACTGTCCTCTGAGTCCTTGCATTTTATCTCAGTGTCCTGGACAGACATTGTCTCTGTGTTGTTTTCTTTATTAAGAGATGATTGAGCTTATGGCAAAAGAATCAATAGGAAAGGGCATGAATCACTTTTCACTTCATGTCTTTTTTTTAATAGCCACAATTATTGACATGAAACAAAATGTGTATGATGACTGCATGGGAAGCTGATCCACTCTCTCAGCCTTCACCCAATGGACAATTAAAAGTCTCAGAAATTTAATTGGAAAGAGGGGACAAAAAAGAAGCATCAGCTTCAGCACCCCAAGGCTAATTTTTAAAATAAATTACAGGGGCCCCAAAGACCCTGCTGGTAAATGTGTTTTATATAAAGTCTAAAACTATTTTTCAGTCTGCAGGATCTTCAGTGAAAGTTGATTTTGTAAATATTTTGCCAATCAAATCTCTTCTATGCTTAGGATGGGTGCCCTTTTCTAGATGTATGATATACTAAACTCCAATTTTTTGTTGTTGTTGGTTGGTTTGTGTTTATTCTGATTTGGCTTTCCACAATAACAGAGGACTCCAGGCAGTGCTAGCTAGGCTCTCATCAGTATGCACACCCATCTACAACTCCTGCTGCCTTGTGGGAGAAGTTGTTGGGGAGAGCCCAGTGTTTTGTTATTTATGAGGGTGAGGGTCTCTCAGGAACGGTATAATGGCCAGCCTACTGCCTCCCAGTTGAATGGTTTCTTTCCTGTGCAGGCCTACCATGACCCGATGCTGAAACTCTCCATCATGACTGAACAGGAGTTGAATCAGATTTTCGGAACACTGGACTCTCTAATCCCTCTACATGAAGGTATGGGTTTGTTCCCAGAAGGACTCGTGATTTGTAAGCCCTCCTTGAGTTGTCTTTTAACGAGTTCACAATTACATAACAGCGTGAGTAACCCCAAACCTACTTCCAGCCCTCTTCTTATTTGAATGCCTAACAGAACAGTTGTTCCCCTTGCTTGTTTCTTGCCAGATCTCCTCAGTCAGCTTCGAGATATTCGGAAGCCTGATGGCTCAACTGAGCACGTGGGACCCATCCTCGTGGGCTGGGTAAGAAAAATTCTCTGGTTTGGGTTGAAGACCAGTGTCAGTAACTGAGATGGAGTGTCATTTTATCTAGACTTTTTCATGGGAAAATGTGGGGTTTCCTATCACACAAAAACCCCCAGCAAATTCTAGTCAAAATTATAATTAGTTTTCACTTTTAGGTCTTCAAAGCATGAAAATAGTTTTTATTTATTGCAAATTAGCTGTAATCAGAGGTAATTTGGCCCCCCTCCCACCAATAATACAGGTAAAAGCATACCTGGAGCTGTTATTTTCACATCAAACAAAGCTAATGTTCAATTCAGGCCAAGGACTAATAAAATTATTACCGTTTCTATTTCAGTACAAACTGATGGGCATGGTTTTTGTGCTTCATCAAAAGAGCTTTTGTTCAGTCTTAAAAAGCAGCAACAACCAAAAAACAAATAAATAAATCTCATGGTCAAAATGTGCTTCCATATTAAAGTAAAAACTAAATGTTTGCCAGTGTTTAGCATATATCTAATCCTAAACATCCTGCTAGAGGAGCTGGGTATGTGCTGACCTGGCCTTCACCTCAACTTGACCTGTTTGCCGTTTCTAATTAAAGATATGCTCTGTGATATTAGATCCCCAAAACCAAAGCCGACCCCACTGCCATTGAGTCAGTTTCCAACCCATATCGCCCCCTATAGGATAAAGTAGGACTGCTCCCCTAAAGTTTCCAAGGCTGTAACTTTTTATAGGCGCCGCCTTCCTCATCTTTCTCCCACAGAGCCGCTGGTGGGTATGAACCCCCACCCTTATGGTTAGTACCCAAACACAACCCACCGCACCTCCATGGCTCCTTTGTATTAGCTTTGGGATCATATATGGATGGTCTTAGGGCTGGTTTTGTCTTTTATCAGGCAACATAATATACTTGCTTATTTACTTTAGACAAGATGTACACACACTTATTTACTTTACTTTAGACAAGATGTACACACACTTATTTACTTTACTTTAGACAAGATGTACACACACTCTATTTCACCATATGCTACCCGCCCTGCCCCCGCCCCCCCTCACCACTTTCCCCTCCTAGTTCCTCCTGTGAGCTCTCCAAGAGTTTTCCACCTGAGCTCCAGGTATTAATCATTTGCTATGAAAAAGCGTCATGAAAGACATTATTTGAATGACTTCTTCCAGGTATGGTTAGGCCTCTTATTCCTGTGATCTAAATGGTGTTCAGAAGAGTAAGCACAAAATGCCGCAGCAGCGTTAGAGGCTATTTCTCTGTGTGGAGAGTGTTGTGGACATTATAAATGTTAGTATTGACCACGTGAGTTAGTTCTCTACCCAATTCATATTTCTGTTGTAACCTTCATACAGCCCACTTGGTGCAAATAATTAGCACACTAGGCTGTTAACTGAAAGCGTGGAGTTCAAGTCCCCCACGGGTACTGTCACAGAAAGACCATGTGATCTACTTCTGAAAATAGCCCCCCAGCGAAGCCTCTACCATTCTACTCTGACATGAGTGGTGGGTCACGCTGAATCCGAATCCACTTGGCAGCAACTGGTTTAAGACACACTTGCTTTGCCTTCATGCCATATAGATGTGCAGAAAGCGGTGCCATTGCCCTTAGTTTAAAGTGTGCTTCTTGATCACTGCCCTGCTCAAGAAACTTTGAAGGTCTCACCACTCGGGTTGCTTCAGCCCAGTAGTCAAATTTAGCACCAAGGCTGAAATATACCCCAAGGGTATATGAAAGTCAAGTAATGTTCTGAGATGAATAATTTAGACGGCGTATGTTAATATTTCAGGAGAGGTCGTTCGTTTTATATTTTTGACTTTCATTTTATTATGAGCTGTGGTCAATGCTTTAACTTCTGCAGCCCGCAAAGAAATTCCTCCAAGAGCCAGGCAGCTGGAGGCAGAAAATTTAGTAATGAGAAAAGAGTCTTCCTCAGCATTGCTTAAACTTCCTGTGTCTGTGGGCTGCGCTGGTGGGATGGAGCAGAAGGCAGTAAGGCTGTCTGCCAGAATTAGCATAGTAACTGCTGGTTGTGACCAGATAGCAATATTGAACAACATCATGTACAAACTGTCAATTTGTGCCAGAAGCGAAATTATAGGAGCATGCCTTTTCTTATGAACGTCTATTCCTCCCCTGAAATAAGTGCTTGTCACTTTCATTACAAAATTCGTTTGATCTGGGAGCATCTTTGGCAGTCCTTTTCTGTACATAGCCCAGGCAAATGTGATCCTGCCTGTCCGCTGCTCTCTGGGCCCATCAGACATCAAATGGAAACTTGCAGCTTGAAGAGCAGCAGCCTAACATAAAACAACTGGCCCCTTGTTACCAGACCTCATGAGAAAAGGCCCTTATTTATCAGGCCCGATGAGCTGTTAAATATTTTCCCTCTTCTCTCTGCAGATGTGTCCCTGTGAGTAGGAACTATAACCAAGGGGTACATCTGTTTGAATTCTAGTCCCTCTAATGGAACAAAATAAACAGCTTAGTGGATTTTGAATGAGAAAAGTCAGAGCCCATTCGACCCATGAAAAATTGATTTATTCCCACCCCACCCCCACAAGGAAAAAAGTTTTTTGAAAAAAACCCTTTTAAACAAGTGTACTACTTCCCCAGCTGGAGAGTCCTAGTGAGTCCTTTTGACCTTAGAATGAATCAATGACTTTGAAGACCTTAAACAGAAGGGTTGCTTTTTTTCCGGGACCCATCCTGGTTACTCAGGATCTATCCCATGTGCGAGAGACCACGTGTGCGCCCACACACATGCACACATCTCCTACACCCCATGGGGTCAACTGCAGGAGTGAGCCTCCCCTGTCAGAAAGAAACAACTCCCCAATGACTGGCTGATAATAGATTTTTTAAGTAATAAAATTAGAAGCTCTATAAGGCACATTCAGATGCTAATTTGAGTGCTAATTAAATTTTAATTTCTAAGACAGAGGCAAGGCACATGAAAGAAACAAGGGGGAAAAATCCATTCTGTCTCTCTTCACAGTGTTTGAGAGATAGAAAGAATTTCTAGAAAAGAGACAGAGTTTTCCTTATGAATTCTTGGCAGCCTGTCTAGAGCGATGTAAGTGGTTCCGAGCTTTGGCTGCGGAGAACAGACTTCAGACTCCAGTGCTGGCTCCAAATGAGCAAGTGCTTTGCTTTTGTAAACCAATTTCTTTTTTTAAAAAAATCCTAGAGACATAGAGTTATAATAATAGTGCTTAGGGATTTTTCTCACCCCGATGGGCCTATTTCTGTGCTAGACATTGTGTGTCTTATTCAGGGAGAGGCGGACATTGGTACTTGCAATTTGCAGATGGAGAGGCTGAGGTTCAGGAGGGTGGCCCAGCTCTTGGGCTCGGAGACCGGTCTGAGCCAGTTCTTCTGTCTGACTTCAGGGTCCCTGCTCTCAGCCTCTCCTGCTCAACTTGCTTATCCTACCGAGTGAGTGGACGGGGATTGTGGAACCAAAATGTGTACGGCCTTTGTCTCCTATCAAATGTAGTGATCGCTTGTGGCTTTCTCACTGCCTGGACTGAAGGAGAGAGGTCTTCTTTCAGGTCATGCCCAGGAAATGAGCACCCTGTCAGGTGTGAACACAGGACCTGCGCCTGGCGAGGTTGCCATGGCAGCCGGGCTGCAGGATCAGAGAGATTAATGGCCCATTGGACGGTGAGCAGCCGCGTGGTAGGGGCTAGTTCACATCCGAGGGTTACTGCTGATTTGGTCCTTTGTCAGGAAAATAATGAAGACATTGGACATATCCAGGTCTTTCTAAAAAGGAAGTAGAAACAAAGTTAAGAGGCCCCAAGGCCCTTTCTAATTAACTCTGAAAATCTAAATTACAAGCCACAGCACCCCGTCTAGGAGTGTGTGTGTGTTCAGTGTGCATGCATGTGTAAGTACTAATTAGCATTACTTCCAAAGACAAGGTTTGAAAAAAGAACTTCTGCCACTTTTTTCCTTTTACCTAAATAGAGGTTCTTACAGCCTGTCAGAAAGGTAGACATTGCCAAGGAATGAAATTCATAAACATTACTTCCCTGGTAATGTTTTCTTGGTTTGGTGTGGTTTTTGGTAGTAATCACTGAGAAAAAAATTCAGTAAGAGCCATAAAACAAAAGAAAAAGAAGAAAAAATAAAAGCCATAAAAGACCCAGCCGAATACTTAAACCTTGACCACAGTTCACATGCCACCATCTTTTATTTTTAAACAACCTTTCCAGGACATGTCATTGGCTGGTTGGTTCATTCACAAGACAGACTTTGAGCACCTGCTGTCTGCTAGGCCCAGTGCAGAGTACTGAGGATGGAGACATGAAAGGCATACTCTTACATGGAATCCCTTCTCTCCAGCAAGTATCATAGTCAAAATTCATGGGAAAGTGAAATTTTAAGATAATGGCATTTCCCCACCATCTTTGAGAAGCCCCTAGCCGATTCCCAGCCATGAGGAAGAGTACAATATTGGCCATGTTTAACTGCCTTTGGTTGCTTTCTGGAGGCTGGCATCACGTGGAAGGCACCGAGGCTCGGGTGCCAGCTAATAGAGAGGAGGCAAAGAGGGGATAAGCAGCCGTATCCTTGAGCCTCTGACACAGTGTTTGCACGATGTGACTGATAGAACATGTCCAGGGGGTTAGCGTTTTGCTTGAAGGCAGGCAGTAGAGTTGAAATAATCCATGGTCTTTAAGCTCAAATTGTTCTTTGCTTAGCGTTGCCACATTAACCATTAGGTGCAATATATGCCAAACTCATTCCTGGCATGTCAGAGCTAATTTAGAAGATGTTTCTAAATGCTTCCTGAAGCTGACTTTTCACTAGTCATAATTTTGCTGTGCTGTCTTGGGGCCCCTTACAGTGGGGCTGTCTTGGAGGCAGATATTCTGAGACTCAGGTGTACAGACGCCTGCAAAGGGGCTGGGCTGTGGAATCAGGCAGCGTGCTTGCTTTCTGTGCTGCTGTCTAAATGACTTTCTTGTGACTCATTTGAATAGAAGCCCTATAAACCTAAGAGGCTCTTCCCTCACCAGATACTTTTGTAAGGCTCAGACACTTCTACATGGTGAGCATTGACAATGTAATTCTGGTTCTTTCATTTTGAGCTTAAACTGGCAGAACATGCCCATGAATTGTGACATAGGTCCCCACAATCAAGAAAATAAAGGCGGGGCAGCTAAGAAAACCAGCGCAAACAAGCGTGAGCCTGAGGGAAGCTGCCCCTCACCTGCTCTTTTGAAGCAATGCCTCTGGTCTCCTCCAGCCATGACGATAGAGGAGCATTGGCCAGGCCTGGAGAGCAGTTAGATGTGGGTGCCGTTCCCCGGAGTGATGCTGGTAGCTTGTGGCTTTGGGGCTCGTTTTAACACTCCAACTCTCTTTTGATTTTCTTTCCTAGCTGCCTTGTCTCAGCTCCTATGACAGCTACTGTAGCAACCAAGTCGCTGCCAAAGCTCTCCTGGACCACAAGAAGCAAGATCACCGAGTCCAGGACTTCCTGCAACGCTGTTTAGAATCCCCCTTTAGCCGCAAGCTAGACCTCTGGAATTTCCTTGATATTCCAAGAAGCCGCCTGGTGAAATACCCCCTGCTGCTTCGAGAAATCCTGAGGCACACACCGAATGACAACCCTGATCAACAGCACCTAGAAGAAGCAGTAAGTCTGTGCATGCTTCCTCTTCTCTGTTGTTATTTCCTCCCTTAGTGGTTCGGGGACCAGGCACCTGAGTGCAGGGAAGAGTCGGCCCTGCCATCAACCTTTTTAATTTTACAAGTCACTTCTCCTCTGTGTCTTAGTTTTCTAACCTGCACTGTGCATTCTCTTAACCTGCAATATGCATCCTTCACTTGAAATGCGCTCAGAGGTTCTTTCCAGTCTAGAATTTCTTGATTTCGTATAGATGACCCTGTAATCCACGTGTTACTGCTGCTGTGAGGGCAGGTTAGTGTCTTGTAGACATTTTTCCATTGGAAAGCCCGGTTTAATCAGAAAAGAGGAGTTGCCTCTTGCCATAGACCCGAAGTCCATTTGTGTTGTCAGCATGCATGGAGATCTAGCTCCCCTCAGTCCCAATTATAGTGGAGTGCCTAGTCAATTGTCTTACTTGCCAGCAGCCTGCTCATTCAGAAAAACTCTTTGAACATTGGGTGGCTGACTGGGGAAATACAGCCTCTTCCTTAGCAGTCATTAAAACCAAGAGGAAGGGGGTCCATCTCACAAGAATGTTGCAACGTACCAGTGGAAACTCAGAGTGGCAGAGGAGACGGCATGCCAGGAGAAGCACAGGGCCTGAGGAAAGGTGGGGAATGACAAGGCAAGGCCTGCCTTGGGGGTATCACAGATCCTCCTGTTTGGGGTTGAGAATACTCTGAGGCGCAGCAGGACATAGGCAGAGGATGTGGGCTCAGAGCTGGTTATAAAACCAAAACCTGTTGTCATCAAGTTGATTCTGACTCATAGCGATCCTCTAGGTCAGAGTAGAACTACCCAATAGGGTTTCCAAGACTGTGAACCTTACGGAGGAAGCGGATTGCCTCATCCCTATCCCACAGAGCAGCTGATGGGGTTCAAACCGCTAAACTTTCTGTTAACAGCCAAGCACTTAACCACTGTTCCACCAGGACTCCTCAGATCTGGTTATATTAAGACAAGGAAACCCACTGTCAGCAAATCAATTCTGATTCATAGCAACCCTACAGCACGCAGTCTACTGCCTATCCAGCACCACCTCCGGGCCTCCCTGTATCTAGGTCAGGGATTTTAAATTTCCATTTGGGTCATGTTTCATTTGTTCTAGAATGAATTAGAAGCCTATTTGTCTTCTAAGTAGGGGCACATCGAGTCCAGGGGGGCTTTCACTTATGCCTTATGTGACCTTTGACGAGTTGCTCCCCTTGTGTGTAGAACAAAGAGGAGGAGGAGGGGTCAGGCGGCAGGAAAGCAGGCTGGGAGGGTGCTGCAGTGCTCTGGATATGAAGTTGGGGAAATCTGACCAGGGATGGCTGAGGCCGTTCAAATGCAAACCCAGAAGCATTTATCCCCAGAGTAGATCTAGAGCAAGAACAGAAAGAGGTGATGTATGTGAATAAGTAGTATTAATACCAACACCCACAATAATAATTATAATGGCAATAACTACTGGCATGCATTGACTACCTGCCAAAATCACCTTCTGTGTTGCCTTACATAGATTATATAACTTGCTTAATCCTCATAGCACCCTGTGAGATAGCTGTTCTTAGTGGGATCATTTTCCAGATAAGACTTGGGAGGGCAGAATGAAATAGCTTGTCCCAGATCCCGAATCATTAAGTGGCATTTGACCCCTGTCAGTATTGACTCCAGGTTCTACCCCTGTCTGCTGCTCTTTGGTCTCCACCAAAGAACCAAGACGTGGCCTTTTCTTTGAGCCACAGTGGCCTATGGGAATTTAGGAGAGCCGTCTAGCTCCCAGACTTTGTGGAGCATTCCCAGGGTACAGAGCTATGTCGGGTGTCCCTTAGCAAGGACAGAGGAGGAGGAAGAAAACGCTGCTGATTCAGGGGTGTGTGTGCTGCATCTGGCAGCCTAAGGCACTCACCCCAGGCCTCCAGCCCAGTACAGATCAGGGTGCACGAACACCCTGGGTGAGACCTGCTCTCACTTCATCGTTTCTACTGTTACTATTGAGAAAGAGCGCAGTAATACAGGGTTGCTTCCTCTCAGAATTTCAGCCCAGCGAGTGTGTGGGCTGGGGCAAAAGCACATGAATCTCTTCTTCTTTTCTTCCTTTGAGGGAGGGGGGCAGTTATGCTCAAGTTTGCATTTAAAACCAGTTGAGAGCGGGGCTGTTTGCAATGAACATGTATGAAAGCATGTATCAGTCACCCAACTTGCCTGGTGTGTAAAATACGAAGCCATTGTCAAAAGTCCGTTCTGCACAGGGCTACCCGGGCAGATCTGTGTGTGGAGCTCTGTATACTTATATTTGGAAGTATTTGGAAAGCAAGTGGCCTCCACAGAGTGTGGACACAGCAGTGGGCTTTCCCTTTGGATTTGCAATCCTTACCGCAGATGAGCTATGGTCTCGCAGGTGCAGGATGACTGTGTGGCCAACATAAAAGCCACTGCGTCAGTGTAGCTAGACACGTTCCATTCCCTAAATAAGCGTTTCCTTCTCTGGGAAGGGGAAAATCTGAGCCCGAGAAGCCAAGTGCATAGACCCTGAAAGAGCTGATGGCATGCTGTCCCATGACTGGCTCTAAAGAAAGGCCTGGCTTCAACAGAACAGTCCCTGCCCAGCTCTCTGTGATCTTGTGTGGAGAGTCCAGAGAAAGTTCCCCTGCAGAAGGAGTTCTTCAACAAGAACTTTGCAGATCCATGTGCTGCAGAGAATGGGTTGTTCCATGTTTCCAAGTCCAAGGATTGTTTAGTTTTTTTAAAACATTATCCTATAGGTTCCCAAATTTACTTGGCCTACTGCCCCCATTTCAGGGGGGAAAAAAGTTAGCACCCTTCTAGCAGTTAAAAACTTTTGAACCACAGCCGAGAATCCAAGTTAAAATGTTGGTATCTGACTTGACACCCCACATCACCCCTGATTGTTCCAGGGCCCCCCACCCCTCTGGCCGGCATTGCCCACCTTGGGAAGCACTGCTTCCCTGCCCTCCTGCTGTTACCCAGTTGCTTAAAAATATAAAAATCACAGGATTCAATGGAAAAGATAGTCAGTCCTGCTTTGGATGCAGCAGCAATGAAGGCTTGGTTCCTGCCAGGAGCCCACGAGTCAATGATATCACCACACGGGATTAGACAGACAGGGCTTGCAGGTCTCAGCTGGAGGAAGATGATGCTAGCATGTGTGGGCTTACATCCATGTGTCCAGTAGCTCTGGTCATCTCCACTCACCACTCCCTCCCTTGGGTTTGAACCCTGGTGAGAAGAGCGGCAGTAAATCTCTCTGCAGCGCACGACTACATGGCCTGCAAAGCAGATCTCTCCCAGAGGGATTGCACCCCCCACCATGGTGGTTAGCTGGGTGCCGGCACAAAGTGTTTGGGATGAATGGAAGACTTTCCATTGACGATTAAAACTGTGCACATAGAATCTGAAATGACGGCCCTGGTGGCTTACGGCCTTTGGTCTCGGTGCCTTTGAAAGCACCAGAAAGAAGCGGCATCTGGAAGTCGTCATACATGGTTGCCTTAGGGACCAGGGTGACACCTGCTTTCACTTGTCTCCATGAGATGCGCCAGCCGTTCCGGTGCCTGCGGTGGATCTCCGTGCTGGTTTCCCGGATAGTTGGCAGGAAACTCAGAAAATTAAAGTGTTAGCTAAGGTGAGCTGCTCAGGCACATTTAGTCATTGTTGACTGATAAGATTATTAGTGCCAGAGTCTTTAAAATCAAGGAAAAAGTGTGGGTTTGAGTACATAGTAACGGTGTAGAAAGAGTAAGATAGTTGTAAATTAATTGATTGATGACAGCTGGTGACTACTATCTAGTCTATTCTAACTCAGCCCTTTCTTGATCGGATTCCCTAGGCTATGAATCTTTATGGACGCAGGCAGCCTCATCTTTCCCCCGTGGAATGGCTAGTGGGCTTGAACTGCCAGCCTTACAGTTGGCCATCCAACCCTTCCTTGGCAATGCCACCGGGGCCCCTTGTCACTCAGATACTTCTGAGTCATTATGCTTCTAGCCAGTTGGGAACTCCCCTGTCTTATCCCCGTGAACACCCGGTCTAACAGCAAGCAGGTCCTTGGCAGCATTAACCAAAACCCGAACCCCAAATCCAAACTCTCCATGCTGATCCAGAACAGCCCTGCAGGACAGAGTAGAACTGCCCCGCGGGCTGCTTGACTGAAGCACACAGCCTGCTTTCTCTCGGAGTACCTGGTGGGGTCCAGCTGCCGGCCTTGCACTTAGCAACCGGGTGCGCTTCACCACTGCACCACCAGGGCTTCTCCACAAGCATTGGCTGACTTCATCTAAAGGATGAGTCGTGTCTTTAATATATGGTGTGACATTTCTTCCCCCACCCCCCTTTTTTTTAAAACTCATTTATTAGTGCTCTTGGGGGAAATCCGCACAGTCATCACAGGTCTAGTCCCTGCAGAATCTTTCGTCCCTCTTTTTGCCGGGGCCAACATTGCCCTTGGCGGTCCCCCTGCCTCCACTTTGTGTTCTTCTGTTCCATTGTGAGATCGCTGGCCTCTCATGCAGGCCGTGGCTTGCAAGTGTGCATTTGGGTTCATGCTTCTTGGCATAATCCAAGAAGTCATAAATTGTACCCAAACCAATAAGTAGCCCTGCCACCACCAAAACAGGCTCTGGACCCATGCACAAAGGTGACACTTGGTGTAGTTGTGTACATTTTATCTGTTTTTTTCAAGGTTGTGTCTTAGGAACCTCAGCTATCCATGACCATTTGTTTCCGCCGGTCTAGTCGGCTGGCCGTGAACATCCTGGTGTAGATGGTTGCTATTTCATTCGTGATGGTGGCCGGTCCTCAGCCAGCCAGGAAGGAAAAGAAGCACATTTTCCTGTTGAAAGTGCTGTAAAAACCAAGTGGGAGGAGAGAGGGGCAGTGCACAAAGAAGTCGTTGTTCTGTTATTTATTCATTGTTTTGTGGTTAGAAAGCTCAGATTAATTTTACAGGATTTACACTTGAGATTAAATTGACATTGAAGCCAAAAAGCTTTTTTTATGATACCAAAGTGTGTGTGTATGGGGTGGGGGGAGTGTATCTGTTATTTCTTATCAAAATTATGCTATCAACAAAAATTTGGAAATAGAGAAAAGAGTAATAAATGATCTTTGAAATTCATTGTTTCTACAAAAGTGTACACATTAGTCATCTGTTGCTAGACTTCAGGTGGTCTCTGTAAGATGTCCTGTTAATCACTTTTCAGCCTTTTGGCTAAGATCAAGTGTAGTATCTGTTCTTATCAGTTTAATATTTGATACGTCCTCTATCTGAGGACAATATATTAAATGGATTTTTGGAGCAGGGAGATGAAATAGGAGCTTGCTCTGTCCACTCCACGCATCAACCTGGTATTGTAGTACTTCCAGGAATGGTGCACCCCCCTCGGGGGAATAAAAAGAAAAAATAAAAAAAAAAAAAAAAGAAGGTCTCCTGTTAAATATAGATGGAAGTACAAAAATTATAACTGGGTAGCAGTTTTCACCCACTTTTACTAGCGTATGGAAAATCAGCACTTGACCCTAGAGAAGGGGTGCATGACTACTTGAGTTTATTACAAGATTTATTAGCTTCTTGTTGAGTAAAGGCCTCTTGTAGACCTTGCTATTCACAGAAATTGGCTTGTTTTCTGTTTCTTACTAAAATGCTGTTGATTTTCTGAGGGCTTTTGGCTTTTCTATTTACTAGAAAACCTGATAGGACGCTGGCTTTTAAGTAAATGTGACGATGTTGAAGTCTTATTAACATCTGTTAAATTGTGATGTGATAGCAGGTTTAGTTAGGGTGAGTGAGTGTGTGTGTGTGTGTGTGTGTGTGTGTGTGTGTGTGTAGAGCTACAACATGTAAGAAGCATTTGTTTTTATCCTATTTCTTCCAAGTATCAACGTAGATGAGGGGAAGTCAGAATTGCTATCCAGGTGTGATCACCTGGGCTGAGCCCTTGAGATTGTTGGTGTGGAAGGATTGCTTCCTTTGCTCACCCCTTCCTCTTTGTTTCCATAGGTCAACATCATTCAGGGCATCGTGGCAGAAATCAACACCAAGACTGGGGAATCTGAATGCCGCTATTATAAAGAGCGGCTCCTTTACTTGGAGGACGGTCAGAAAGACTCCCTGATTGACAGCTCGAGAGTGCTGTGTTGTCATGGCGAACTGAAGAACAACCGAGGCGTGGTGAGTGGTGGCTCTTGTGGGAGTCCCTCCTTGGACCACCCCCTTGCTTTTCTCCTGAACCTCTCCCTGTGACTTCCTCTCCACGGTTACATATTTTTCAGACAAAAAAATTATTTTTCCAGTGTCTTCTACATCATAAGAATACTTCTTTTTCCCATTTGACTTTTCATGTAGCAGTACATATTCAGAAAGGATTTTGGAAGCCAGCACAGGGTTTCCATATTTTTATTTTCTTTCATCATAACCTTCAAAAACAAATACATAACAGTTAACATCTCTGCCCACTTTTATTTCAGAAAATAAACGGTGGTTTTAGCAGTGTTAGAAAATATTTGATCTCAGAAAAACAGATAACGTTTTAATTGAATGCCTTTAGCTTTATGAAGAGTATTTCTTCCTCCTGAGTTGGCACCTGTCCGCAGACTGGCATTTTGAGACTAGTTGTTTGCTTCTGTTTTGTTTCAGTAATGTCCTCCCTTCCTAGCTGTGACCTGTAGATTTCCCTTTCCTGGCTTTTATTCCTGAGATATTAACACCCTTCCTAAAAAAAAAAAATTAATAAAAATAAATCAATCAATCTTTTCTTCTTATGCTATCATAGACCCTCATCAAACCTTTTATGGAGTGCTTACATTCTCCACCTGTAAGTATCTTCTACTAGCCCAGCAGTTCTCAACCTGTGGATTGAGACCCCTTTGGGGGTCGAACGACCCTTTCACAGGGGTCGCCCGTTTCATCACAGTAGCAAAATGACAGTGATGAAGTAGCAACGAAAATAATGTTATGGTTGGGGGTCACCACCACACAAGGACCTGTCTGGAAGGGTCGCAGCATGAGGAAGGTGGAGAACCACTGTACTAGACCATGCTGTTTCAGAGTAGGGACCGTTTCTTGTCAGTCTCTAGCACCTACCACGGGACTTGACACATACTGCTAGTTGTCATCCAGTCAATGGCAACTCCTGATGCTCCCATGAATGGCAGAATCAAACTTTGCTCCGGGGATTCAGTGGCTGAATATTTGGAATTAGATCACTAGGTCTTTCTTCCAAACTGCCTTTAGGTAGACCCGATCCTCTGACCTTTCAGTTTGCAGCTAAATGAATTAGCCGTTTGTACCATCCAGGGACTGGCACATACTAAGTACTAAAATATATATATATAATAAGTGAGTAAATTAATGAGTGCTTCTATAGAAGAAGGATGGACTTGAATTAAATAAGAGTTCAAAATTCATTCACTAGCCATGTTATTTTTATGTGCAGCCAGTAGAAAATGTTTGATTCATGAATTTGCTTCATTAAAGAGAAAACAATGTTTATTAAAGTATCTTTCATGACTTCTTTGTTGATAAAAAGACTCTCCACTTTCATTAGTTTTTGTCCTCAATATCTAGCCAACTTATAGACTGACAGCCAAACTAGATTGACAGGTTCTTAATAAAGCCTGATGATTCCAGGAACACCCTTTCAACCTGGACTGCAAAGTTGCGTTTATGAGCAGGTTTGGAAATGTTACTTGAAGTCACAGTATACATGTCATATCATAGCACTGGTTCTCAGGGCTGAGGGTTGAGTAAGGAGACCTGTCCTACTGATTAAAGACAGGTGTCTGATTAGGGAGCCATTAGTTGCTAGCGAGATATGCCCACCTTTAGCTGGTTTTCAGAAAGTACTGGTAGACTTCAGCATCAAACTGGACTTCTGGCTCTTTGAATGTTCTTTCCAGAAAGCCTTGTGGAAAATAGTTGGGAAGATTCCTCAATTCAAAAAACGTGGGCCTGCTCTCTTTCTGTGCGTCAGTCAAGGACTAAAGACCATCTGGTTAGGCATGTCAGGGCATGGGAAATGAACTCCAGTTCATATTGTGGGCAGATTATATCTTTGAGCTCAAAGATAGTGCCTGGGATGGAAGGTGTGTTTCAGTTCATGTTTTCTGGTTGGGATCCTTTTTCTTCCAGTATACCTGTGGAAGTCATTGTGAAGAAGACCTATGTCGGACAAAATTAATAATAATAATCACAGTTTGAAGGCAAAAAGAAACGGAGGCTAATAAAAGAACCTCAGGGGATATTTATAAATGAGGGATAATTTTCAAAGGTTCCCCAGGCCATTTAAGTTTGAACTCCCCTTGACTAGAAGATTAAGGTGACCAGATTTTAGCATTGGTAAAGCGGGACACCATTGATAAAGCTCATATCCTGGCGAAATAACCACATGGCAGCCGAAAACCATATACTCTAGCTTGGTGTGCATTCTTTCCAAAAATCGGGACTTTTTAAAAATGCCGTGGGACGCGGGAAAAATTGTTAAAAATCGGGACTGTCCCACCAAAAGCGGGACGTCTGGTCACCTTATAGAAGAATGAAGCAGATAGCTGGCACAATAAACTATCTCACTACCCAAATCCTTGATTACTTTCATTTGTTTCAGTTTTCTTTATTTTGTGGCTGTTAATTTTTTATTGTGATGTGGGTGAAACTTGACAGAGCAAAGCGACTTCCTTCAAGAACCCGTACACTTACACGGTTCATTTTGTGACATCGATTGTACTCCCCACAGTACAACCACACACTTCTCACTTCCTCTGTTTCTCAGCAGGCCCACTCATCCTTCTGCCCTACCCTTTCCTGCCTCTTGAGCTCTGCCCGTGGGCAAATGGACCCCCTGGGTCTCATGTGGTTTATATTCCAAAGTGTGCCTACCTCTGTGGTGCTAGCCCTCCCCTCCTAAGGTCTTGTGTGGCTGAAAGTTGAGCCACGGCTGAAAGTTGAGCCACAGGGTGAGTTCAGTTCCAGGTTTGAAAGATGGCTGAAGGCCATAGTCTCAGGCCACCAGTCTCTATTACACCCGCAAGCCTGTTGGTTTGTGATTTTGAGATTTATTCCATACCTTTCTCCCACTCTATCCATGACCTCTTTTTATGATCCTTTTCAGAGCAGATCAGGAGTGGTAGCGAGGCATCATGTTGCTCTTCTGATCTCAGGTGGGTGGAGGCTGAGGGCCAAGTGGACTAGTTATTTCCACGTCTCTTTGATCTTCTTTCCTTTTTCCAAATGGGAAGAGAATAGTTGTGTCTGACATGGCCACTTACAAGCTTTTCAGAACCTAGTTGCTACCCAGCAAAGTAAGATGGTGGTGGTAAAGCATTGTCTCTGTCGTCTGTGTGAGGCCAGTTGACCACGGTGTCCCCAGGGTGATGGTCTTGAGTCTCTAGACTAGACATAGAAACTCATTCCTTTCAGGTGTTTGCTTATGGCCGAGGTTTCATAACGTTGCCTCCGGTCTGCTCTGTCCTTGGTTTAATTGTAGTGTAATGCCTAGCTCCTTTTCTCCCCCGCCCCTCACCCCAAAAGAAAAGTCTTATATTTTCTACTGTCCGCCCTCCCCCTCAAAGTTAACTTGATGGTTTGGTTGTTTACTGTTTATCCATCTTTCTAAATGCACATTTAAGCTTTTTTTAATAAGCATAAATTCTCACTTTTCAACCCTGCATAGGGACTCATAATCATTTGTGTATGTGGTAGTGGTGGGGTAGAGGGATCCACAGATTTTTCCCCCCCCAAATAGAAAATTATGTGATGGTACTGTTCCAAATCAAAATTTAATGTAAATTTCCAATCCCACATTGATATTCTCAGAGATGAGTGCCAAGTTTCCACCAGGAAACCAGGCTCCGACTGCCAGTTCCAAAGCAGTTCCCAACTGTGAAAGGAATTTAATGACGCCAAATTACCCAGCTCCAGGCAGGAAATGTGTTTCGTGATATGGTTTGGGGACAGGCCTTCAGTTTTGTGATTTCCTTTTTAGCCATAACATGCACAACGGTAGTCACCAGCCTTTGAAGTACGACCCCTTCCGTGACCCCAGGTTCTAGTTCCTAAGAACGAACACTTTGATCACCTTCCATTTGCTGCAGGCTTCTCTGGTTCTCTCCAGAATGGGCAGTGCTCAGTGCTGGAGCTTCTGGACAAAGTTGGTAATCAGCAGTGTGGTTGAAGGAACATGTACTCTTAGGGTTTGGGAAGTCAAGATTAGCACTCAGCTTTGATAGACTAGCCTCATCCTTACTAGACTCTTGTTAGTTTTGAGCTATTAGAATTACTTTGGGAAATATAACCAGGGAGGAGTCCCTGGGGGAGGCACACTAATTGGCCGCTAACCAAAAGGTTGAAGACTTGAGTCCCCCCAGAAGGACCTCAGAAGGAAGACCTAGCCATCTACGTCTGAAAAATCAGCCCTTGGAAACTCGGTGGAGCAAAGTTCCATGGGGTGGTCACGACGAGTTTGATCAACTCAATGGCAACGACTAGTGCCAGTTGATATAGCCACCAAAGCCAGGGGTGCAGCTCTTTCCTTCATTACCCCCTTTATTGTATTTCTTATTATTCTCATTTAAATGGAAGCTGTGTAGGCTGTGTCTGCATGGTTGTGAATTGCAGTGGGATTAGCCCCTCTGGAGTTGGCAGTGCTGACTCTCTCCAGTGGACCCCAAGGAAGGTGCTCCTGTGGGAAAGATGATGAGTACACCTGGAAATGCCTCTGACTTGCCTGAGTGCAGTTCTTCCGAGGCACATGTGAGCCTGGAAGCTCACAATCCAACGTACACCTAGTACCTGGTGGCCTCTTACCCACCGAGGCTCACAAATCAATGTCTCTTTAGATGACAGAAATCCTATGGATTCTTTTCTTCTAGAAACTACATGTTTTCCTGTTCCAAGAAGTACTCGTGATCACTCGAGCCGTCACCCACAATGAGCAGCTCTGCTACCAGATGTACCGGCAGCCGATCCCCGTGAAGGATCTTCTGCTGGAGGATCTGCAGGACGGAGAAGTGAGGTTGGGTGGCTCCCTGCGAGGAGCCTTCAGCAACAATGAGAGAAGTAAGTATGCCAGACGTGTTGGCCTTTTGTGCGAGTAACTCGGAGGGGGATGGCTGGGTAGCGAAAGGAGAAACACCAAGGCCGTGGCATCAGATGAATTCCATAAATGTTCTGTCACTGCTGGTTGCGTAGCCATGTCGAAACCCCGCTCCCACCATGAGCCTCAGTTTCTTAAGGGAAGAGTTGGGGAGTATATGTGTTCCTACTTCATAAGGCTGCCTTAAATTTCTCCCTATTTTTTCATTGATGATCTTTATTGTTCTAGGGTTTTTATTTAAGTCTTTGACTCATCTTGAGTTTATTTTTGTATATAGAACAAAGTATGGTCCTGTTTCATTCTTCTGCAAATGAATATCCAGTTTTTACCAACACCTTTGTTGAAGAGACTGTTCCCCATTTAATGTGTTTTGGCCTTTGTCAAAATGCAGTTGTCTCTCGGTGGACAGATTTCTTTGTGGAGTGTGTGTAACAGTGGGGCTTGTGCTGAGGCCGGCAGGTTTACCGTACAGTCACGAGCATGGCCGGCTGGGCTGAGGATTCATCTTAGTGGGCTTCTTGAGCTCGAGACTTCATTAAGAGGAACTGCGATAGCAATACCTGTTAGTCTTCCATGTGTTTAATGGACGGTGCATAGGACGTTTCCCGTTTCTTTCATTGTAAAGGAAGAAAAAACAGAGTAAACAAATATCCTGCGTGCTCTTTAGAAAAGTCATCTTGTGACGGCAACATAGGTACAAATGTGTTTGACACAATTGATGTATGGATTGTTGTGGGAGCTGTAAGAGCCCCCATAAAATGATTTATTAATTAGAGAAAAAAAGAGGAAACGTTATCTTGATAGAAGTACAGAGAGAGGAATAATAATTTGAGTCACTGGTCAGAGAAGTCTTCTTTGAGAAAACATTTGAGCCGCCTGAGTTAGTGTAGGCATCATGTTTTCTAAGTGCTGATGTATGCTGTCTCACACCTTCCATCCAACTCGTAATAATAGTGATAGTAGTAGTTCATATATATGAATTCAAACACACACGAGAGGGTACCCCCAAAAACCTGGAATTGGGCTGGGCTGGGCGGAGCTTTCATAGTATGAATTTTTTCCCAATAAGTGAGCATCGAGCAACTTGCTCTGAGTTAGTGCACCCAGTAGCGTCGCCTGGGACAGTGAATTTTTTCATAAAAGCCGTTTCGCTGGAACTTCGTTTTTTATGATGGCTGCTTTTAAGAGACCAGTGTGCGGCTGTAAAATTTTGTCTCCTGCTCAGGAAAAATGCTGCCAAAGCTGTTGTGATGTTGAACGCAGACTACAAAGACAGCACGATGGGAAAAACTCGAGTGTATGAGTGGTTTTCTCATTTCACAAAAGGTGAAATGTCAGTTGATGGCAGACCTCATTTTATACATCTGTCACCTTCCCAAATGGATGAAAATGTCTCCAAAATTCATGCCCTTGCGCTTAAAGACTAACAGTGGATCACTGAAGGAATAGGGAAGTTATTTGGACTCTCTTGGAGCTTGGTTCAATGGATTTTATCGGAAGATTTGGGAATGAGAGGGTTGCTGCAAACTTTGTGTCTTGGGTTCTGACTAACCGGGAACAGGAGTATCTCATGGATATATGCCATGTTTTGTAAGAACGGCTCTGAAGTGACCCAGACTTTTTTCCAAGAACATTACTGGTGAGGAGAGTGTTATTCCTACTGTCCCCAAAGCAAACATCAAGCCAGTGGAAGACACCACTGTTACCTCGCCCCCACCCCTCAAAAAAAGCTCATAAAGTGAAATAAAAGATCAGGACAATGCTCATTTGGTTTTTTGATGTGGGGGGGATAGTGCATTTGGAGTTTGTTCCACCAGGTTAGACTGTTCATCAAGCTTTCTATTTAGAGGTTCTGAAAAGATTGTGTAACAGTGTGTGACCAAAAAAGACCTAATTTGTGGCAGATGGGGGACTGGTTTTCCCACCATGACAATGCATCTGCTCACACAGCCATCTCAGTGTGCCAGGTTTTGGCAAAAAACAGCATGCCTCACTTGCCCCAAGCACCTGACTCAACTGACCCTGCTCCATGCAACTTCTTTTTGTTTCCTCTAATGAAGAGAAACATGAAAGGACAGCAACTTGAGGATGTAGAGGAGGTGAAGAAAAGCGAGGGGGGTGCTCTCAGCCATCCAAACAGATGAGTTTGACAAATGTTTCCAAGAATGGAATTGCAGATTTGCCAAATATATTCAGTGTAATGGAGAGTACTTTGAAGGTGATAAGTTTGTTTTGTATAAAAATTTGAATACATAGCTTTGAAATTTTTTTTCTGTGTTTTTTTTTGGGTGGGGGACCCCCTCGTGTGTATGTGTGTGTAATAGGATTTATTTATTTATTTATTTATTGTGAATTAGGTTGGGGGTTTACATTTCAGATCATCAACACTGCATTCAACAGTCCAAAGCACTCATCAAGCCCCGCCCCCCACCCCAGCAGTCTACCCCATCACCCAATTCCTTTTCTCCCAGTTGTGGACCTCCATCCTCCCTCTCACCCAAGTGAACACCTGTCAGCCCTCTAGTCTGTTGCTTCATCTTCCTCCTTATACACCCCTCCCTTTTGTAACCTCCAAAGTCTGTTCCCTTTGGGATGAAAGTCTTTGTCTCTTGCTCTTTCCTTATGATAGTAGTCTCATATAGTATTTGCCCTTCCATGATTGACTCATGTTATTCAACTTAATGTTCTCCCAGTCCATCCATGCCAAAGTTGGGTTTTCTAGGTTTTCTCTCATTTACAAATAAGAAAATGGAGGCAGAGGTATTAAGATGGTTGCTGTAAGATCACAGGGGTGGGGACTGAATTTTAGGGATTAGTATTACCATTAGGTTTTGCCTTGCCTTGATTGCTTAGTCTCTAAGCTATCTGAAGTGGTAGTTCCCACTCTGTTGTCTAAAGCAAAGGGAACTTGCTCAAAGTGCATGTGTCAACCAAGTATTGTACTTCGTACCGTAGTGGCAGTACTAGAAGAAATAAAGGTATTGCAGATTGTGCACTACCATTTTTTCAAACATACACAGCTCCTGTTGAAGTCATTAAACTATAATTTTATTTAAAAGTGAAACAATGAATAATAGCTCTATGTCTTTATATATGTTTTCAGTCAATGTGTACTAAATAGATTATCACGTGGCATGTTGTAGATATATGTTGATGTTACAAAGAACTTCTCTTAAACTTGAGTAAGCTCTAGCCTGGGCACTTGTTAAAAGTACAGTTTATCAGGCCCATCTGTAGCTCTGTGGATAGATGAGACCCAGGATCTGTATTTTTTTAATAGTTCCCCAAGATTTTTTGGATAGGATGCCAATTTGCGTAACCAGTTCCCTAAGATCTCTTGAAATGCAAAACTTAGATATTCCAAGTAGATAGTCACTTGTTAGCTTCTGAGAGCAATTGAGAACAACTAACTGACAGCAGTGCTGTCAACTCCAGTTGAGCGATGGTGACTGCAGAGTGGAGCTTAGCTATGGTCTGCATTAGTGGGGAAACATTTTGTGATCAACTAGTGGACTGTTTGCCCAGGGAATTGCCATGAGCCAGAATCTATTTGTTGGCAATTGGTAGTAGTGATCGCTTGTGGTTAATGTTACATGTTTTATCTTTGGCTTGCAGAAATAACCATTTATTGATCTTTTTCCTCGTGTATTTTTCATTTCCAGTTAAAAACTTTTTCAGAGTAAGCTTCAAAAATGGATCCCAAAGTCAGACCCACTCGCTACAAGCCAATGACACCTTCAACAAACAGCAGTGGCTTAACTGTATCCGGCAAGCCAAAGAAACCGTTCTGTGCGCAGCTGGGCAGGCTGGGGTGCTGGACTCGGAGGGGCCGTTCATAAATCCCGCCACTGGGAGCAGGGAGCCACAGGGAGAGACAAAACTGGAGCAGATGGACCAATCGGACAGTGACTCAGACTGTAGTATGGACACGAGCGAGGTCAGCCTCGACTGTGAGCGCATGGAACAGACAGACTCTTCCTGTGGGGACAGCAGGCATGTCGAAAGCAATGTCTGACAGAAGCACATGGACTCTCTGGAAGTCGCCCTGTGTCTTACCTGTACAGTATTTGCATTCCACACATGGAACGGTTTGGAGAAGCACTTTTTAAATATTTCTGTGACCGTGTTGACCCAGTCAGTCACTTATCCCTGTACCTTTGTCCCTAGTACTGTAACTGCCAACCTGTCTGTAAGCTGGAATCTGGGTAAGCAACTATGACCCTGTGTTACGTTGCACAAGTGGATGGATGATGGATGGAGAGGTACTTGAGCAAGTTACTTTCAAAATTGTCCTGCTGGATTTTAAAACAGAAAAAAGAATTTCTAAACTGCTTTCCATAGATTGCTTCCAGAGCCCTTCCATGCTCCGCTAGTGCTCCTCTCGTTCTTTCACCTGGGCGCTGGAGGGCCTTGCAAACGGGGTGTGAGGAAGTCACTCTTGTCTCATGATGGCATTTGAGGGAGAACCTGGAAAGGTCGATGCCTGGGAGTGAGCTTGACTCAATGGCATTCAGCCAAAGTGCTTCATTGACCAGCACCCCTGGGGACTCCCCAGGCTGCATTTTGCGAGGGAGGAAGCTCTGTGTTGACCTTGGGATTGATTCCTTCCAAGGCAAGCTTGAAGCAATACTATATTAGGACATGAAATAGAGTCTGACCTTGAAAGGGCAAATACAAAGTACAAAAGCAGCTGCCAGCTCTGAATCTTTTAACAGAATTGCACATTGCACCAGGAGGCCTCTGTGCTAGTTAATGGCTTGCTAAGAGAGAGCCATATCTAGCTTAAAACGTCAGAATAGAAACCTCCTAGGAGCACCAGAAGGCCCTGTCTTCATTTCTGATATTCTCCTCGGCCCGCTCACACTGTGTAGTGTGAATGAAAAAGTGGGTAACAGAGACACCAACTAGGTCAGTGACTGTTTCAGAGAAGATGAGAGGAAGAACTTGGAATGGAAAGGGTTTCATCACTACCTCGTGTGGGAAGCCTTAAAGAGAAAGGCCAGAGGTGTGGGTTTTCCTGCCTTGCTTCTGGGTTACCCACTTGCCCTCTCTGACTGTGCTGTGAACAGACATCACTGCATTCTGCACGGGCCAATGTAATTAGCTCTATGATTAATTTGGCACTGTGGTTGAAGCACTCAACTGCTAACCAAAAGTTCCGCAGCTTGATCCTACGCGTCGCTCCACTGGAGAAAGATGTGTCCATCTGCTGCCATTCAGATGTCCAGCTTTGGGAATCCTATGGGTGGGGGCAGTTCTACTGTGTCCTATCGGGTCACTCTGTGTCAGAACTGACTCTGTAGCACCGGGTTCGGGTGTTTATGATTAAGTAGGATGAGCAAGCCCAACTTGAAAGTCCTCTGTCCAGCTTAGACTGAAGGGCAGAGTAGGTTGCAGATCTGGGGGGAAAGAGAAAAAAGGGAAACTACTAAATACATAGAAAGGCAAACCCTGTGAGTGTAAATATGGCAGAAGACCTGTGCAATGTACCCGTACCAGCACTAGTAGTGATGACTCAACTATTGCCAAAAACGGAATTTCTTTTTAACTCTGGTGTCTTTCAAGTTTACAGGGGGGAAAAAGATATCAGTCAATATAATGTTGTCATCTTATGTACATGTGTCTGTGCACTCAAGCTGTGTGACAAGATGATCAAGATACAAGCCAGGTAGATTGCTTTATGAATTTTCAAAAACCATATTGCGGTCAATTTGGCCCTGTAAAAACATACTCTTCTGTATTTATAGATTTTTAAACATGGTGGAATTTTTTTCTATTACAAGTTTATTTAAAACTGCTTTGTTTCTCAAGTTGTTATTCCTTTAGCAAAATGAGCATGAGCCTGCTACAGAGAAAAGCAGGGACAAGTTGAGAAAAGTCGTTGGATGGTAAGAGGAAAGAATGGGCTATTCTTTGAAGGAGCCATTGTGTTTAGACAAGTGGTCTGTCAAGTATTGCCTATGGGAGGAGAGTAAATGAATGTTTTGATGAAATGAATGTTTTTGTATAACAGCCTTAAACTTTTCTGGAAGCATTTCAAATAAATGACATTAAATTGCCATTGTGTGTATGAGTATGTGTGAGTGAGTGAGTGAGTGTGTGTGTGTGTGTGTGTGTGTGTTTCTCCAGTGTTTGCCCAAAGAATGTTGAGTTTCAGCTGCTATCCTGGGAGACTCACTGAAACGTTTGCTGGGTCCCCAAAGGCAAACTTTAAAATCGGATGGGGGTGGAAATAGTTGCTGTGGTTGGGTCTATCAAAACCTTTGCAGAAATCTTACTTCTAAGATAAAGTTTTTTGAGCTTGTTTTTCATGCATTTACTTGCCTATTCGTTTTTAGCAATCAGTTCTTGAATCTGTTCTGTGTGTAAAGTCAAGGGAAGCCTACTTTTGTTTCCCCCAAATGCCAATCATCTGCTGGCTCTCTTCCTCTTGCCCCCTGACCTTTTCCTTCTCCGTGTCTGTCTTCCCTGCAACGTTGGATCCAGGCTTCACTGTGACTATTCTCCAGTTCAGTCATCATTCTGGTTCACGAAAAATGTAACAATTGGGGCCTGTGCAAGTGTTGCTTCATCGCCTTGACTAAACCAGTATATTAGCTTCTTAGCACGGACACAGACTTGCCTAACGTAACAGAAATTGTCCTGTCACAGTTCTGGAGGCAAGCAGTCTAAAATTAAGGTTGCACACTCCCACTGAACGCCCTAGGGGAGCCTCCTTTCCTTTTGCATTTTCTGGTGGCTCCAGAGCTCTCTGGCTTGTGGTGGGATAGCTCTAAACTCTGCCGCCCTCGTCACAGGGCCATCTCCCTGTCTCTGTTCTTTCCTCTTTTTTTTAAATAAATAAATCCTTTTATTGGGGGCTCTTACAGCTCATAAAAATCCACACACCAATTTTATCAAGCATATTTGTACATATGTTGCCTTCATCATTTTCAAAATAATGTCTTTCTGTTTGAGCTCTTGGTATCAGCTCATCTTTTTTTCTTTCTCTCTCCACCCTCCCACCCTCAGGGATCCCTGATGTGTAGCAGAACAAGAAGAGCAAAACAATGAGGTGCCCGAGGGATCCTGAAAATAGACCTTGGAGTTGGTGGGCAGGGTGTAGCACCTCACCAGACCAGATTGGAAAACATTCAGAAGGGTCAGCAAACAGACCCGGAACTATTTGCAGGGCTAGGTTTTTTGGTTTGTGGTGGTGTTTTGTTTTGTTTTTTCTTTCTAACTTTTCCTTTTTTCTTTTTCTCGCATCGATCCATATAGGATAGGGAAGATAACTGATCCTGAGGAGAAAACAACGGCTCTGGGGGAACATGGAGAGGAGGAGGGGGGAGAAAGGGATAGGGCAGCCAACAAACCCAGGGACAAGGGAACACTAAGAGATCTAAAATTGATGCCAAAGAAGTCAGAATGCCTGATGGGGTTTGATCAAGTGCAGTGTAGCCAAGAGAAAGTTCTGAGAGTCAAGTAAAGGTCAAACATGACAGTGGGACAAGAGGAAGGTAAAAAAAAAATAGAGGAAAGAACTAGGAGGCAAAAGATATGTATAGAGACAAATTTAGGCATGCACATAAATAAATACATTAATATATAATAATAGGGATGTAGGTCTATATACATATAGTTAAATGTTAAGCATTAAGATAGCAGCAGACGGGCATTGGGTCTCAAATATTCCTTCAATGCAAGAACACTTTGTTCTAATAACCTGGCATTCTGTGATGCTCACCTTCCCAACCTGATTGCTAAAGTCAAAATGGATGCATAAGCAAATGAGGTGAAGAAGTCTGATGGTGCCCAGCTATTAAAAGATATAGCATCTGGGGTCTTAAAGGCTTGAAGAACAAGTGGCCTTCTAGCAGGGAAGCAACAAAGCCCTCATGGAAGAAGCACACCAGCCTGTGTGATCATGAGGGGTCCACGGGATAAGGTATTGGGCATCAGAAGACCTAAAACAAATATATTGATGCAAATGATGGCAGAGTGGAGACCCAAAGCCCATCTGTAGGCAATTAGACATTCCCTCACAGAAGGGTCACAAGGAAAGAACGAGACACCCAGGGTGCAGCACAGCACTGACAGAATACACAACATTCCTCTAGTTCTTTTTTTTTTTTTT